TCCTCCCAGGGGAGCTGCCCGAGGCTTGGGTCATTTGTCCAGCCCAGCAGGGGAGGGCCCAGTATAAGCCCGGCTGTGAGGGGCCCCACCGAGCCCTGGCGGCGAGACCCACCTGAGCGTGGTATCTGTGAGCCCGACCAGGGCAGCAGCTGCATCCAGAGACACCCTCCTTCCTCTAGGGCTACGTCCGACGGCATCCTGCCCACACAGGCTCCAGGCCTGTGACCCCACGGCGGGCTCGGGTAAGCGGCAGGGCCTCGTGCTCCCCCAGGGGGTGGGCAGCCGTGGCCCTGGATGCGGGGTGGTGAGGGTCACGAGGAGACACGGCTCAGGAACCAGGACAGGAAAGGTCGACTGATGTAGCCACGCGAAGCTTGAACCTTCCTGGGGGAAAACGCCACGAGCAGAGTGACACTCGTGGTGCCCGGTGGCCCAGGGGAGAGGCTCCGCCTCCTCACAGGAAGGGAGCAGCCGCAGGACATGTGCCTGGTGTGTCTGTGTGGGGGCAGAGCTGCAGGCCGGTTCACTCACGTAGCTTGTCCTCCTGAAGCCAAGCACCGGAGGCTGGGCCGAGGCAGGGCTGTCTTCCATCTGCCTCTGTCTGGATTCTCCCCACGGGAAGAGTTACCTTTACTCCACTCTCTGCTCCTCTTTTATTTTTTTCTGGTGGAATTATGCTTCCTGGCTACTTTAATATAATTTTCTCACAAATGCCATTTTCAAGTATTATGCATGTTTTCATTGGCCCCTTTTGGGATCAATCGTCTCTTTCCCCAAGTTCCACACGAGCAGGAGCCCTGCCCCGGCCTTGCATCTTTGGACCCTCGCAGTTGCCAGAAGGCTCGTCAGAGGAAGTGAGGTGACCTTGGAATTGCCCTTTGGCTGCACGTAGGCTCCCCCTGGGCTGACCTCGCCCCGTGCAGCTGCCCAGCAAGGAGAGGGCCGGGGCCTGGGTGCCTGAGTGCAGCTCGTCTCGACAGACGCCGGTGTCTTGTTAAATGTGCAGTTAAACGTCTGAGCTGATTTCTTTACTTTCATGTTGATGTTTTCTTTCTTTCTTTCTCCCCCAGCACTGCGGCCTGCGGTGGGGGGGTGGGGGGGCACCAGGGAATTCCCATTCAGTTTGACATTTTCTAACATGGCTTTTCCCTTTGGTTTTATTTCTCAACGTAATTATTAATTCAATAGAGGGGAGAGATTTGACAGAAGTTCACCATGTTTGGATGGTCTGGTAAATTGGAAAAACTCAGTTTTGTTTACCTCCCAAGTCAGGAAAGCCCCGCCTTCCCTCCTGTGTCTTTCTCACCTGAGTCTCCTTTACTTTCACACAGAACATTTCACTTCCGTCACCAAATGTGTGGGTTTCCCCACATCAAGCAGTGCTCTGTGACCCCCACATGGGTGTCCTACAGTTCAGTCCAGTTCTGACACCACCCACTGGGAGATGGTGTCGGATCCCACAGGTTAAGGGCTCAGTCACAAATCCAGGCTGCCACCTGTGTCCCCGTGGAGTGGGGTGCGTCACCCTCCTGGTATGTGGCTGTGTCTGCCGACCCAGCCCGCCCCGAGCCTTATGCTGTGGGGGCTGCACGGAGGCCTGATCCACGGGCACCTCCATCTCTAGTCCCCTCCCTACTCTGGAGAATGGGCATGGGGCGGCGCTGTAAGCTCCAAGGTTCTCATCCTGGCTCCGTCTTCCTGGCGACCAGCCTCCACCCAGGAGCCGCCCAGAGTCACCTCATTAGGACAAAAGGGGCTCCTGGTGCTCCTGTCACTTGGGAATTTACGAGGAGCCCCACGTCAGGAGCCAGGGGCAGATACCAACATACGTGTTTCCTACGACCGCGTACCTGGCCTTGCTGGGTCAACCGGGATGAGGGAAACATGTTCCTGAGTCCGGGACAGTCCGGTGCCGGGAGACCACCACTGGGGGGGCCTGCAGGAGGGGCGGCCACTGCTGAGGAGGCCCGGGGAGAAAGCACCCCGAGCCATGACAACCTGGGGAACCTGAAGAGGTCTGAGCACGCCCTGGGAGTGAGGGTGGGGCTGCTAGGGAGGCGGGTTCTGGGGTCCGGGTGCCGGGAGTACAGTGGTGGCATGGCGTGGTACCGCAGCATAAGACAACATGTCTATCTGGTTTTGTCCTGGTTCCTGGCACAGAGCTCGTAACACCTTTGTGATTCCTGCGACTGTGCTAACGAGGTGACTCGGGCGCCAGAGAGATTCAGGATGGGGCTGGTGGCAGGAGAAGCCAGCCCTGATGAGATATTGGAACTCAGGCCCCACCCCCAACCTCAGGGAGGGGAGAGGGGCTGGAGGCTGAGCCAGTCACCAGAGGCCAGCGATTTAATCAAGCCCTGCCACCCTAACAGAGCCTCCACAAAACCCCTAGAAGATGGGGCTGGTGAACACATCTGGGGGGTGCACCCCAGCTCCACGGGGACATAAGCTCCCAGATGTCACCCTATGGATGCCTCCATCTGGCTGTCCATCTGTGTCCCTTGTAAGAAACCAGTGTCTCCCTGAGTTCTGTGGGCCATTCTAGCAAATTACTGAACCAGAGGCGGGGGCCATGGGAAGCCCTGACTTCTGATGGTGTTGGACAGTGGGTCCCCTGGTCTAGAGTGGGGGGTAGTCTTGTGGGCCTGAGCCCTCCGCTTGTGGGGGCTGCACTGGCTCCTGGCACTTAGTGGCAAGTGTTGTGAGAAAACTTCCTTTGACCAGCTGTGCCTGGCACCCTGGCGGGGCTGCTGGCGGGGGTCCCCTCAGCAAGATGTTGAGGACACGAAGTGAGAGGCACTGCACGTGCTCAGCGGCCTGTGGACCTGGCACGGCACCTCCAGGGCGTCACGGCCTTGGGAGCTGAATCTAGAACACACCTAGGACAGTAAAGGGCTGGGGATGCCGGTGACACCCAGAGCAGAAGCCCTGCTCTGGCAATGCTGGGTTTGCAGGAAGCTCTGGAACATGTGACAGCACATGCCCGGGCAGGGTGGGCAGGAACGACCAGCGGAATGAAATAGAACCAAGAGGCCGCGCCACCGGCAAACGGCACGGCTGCTGACAGCCCGTGAGGTGGCCTTCTCTGATTCAGGTCAGAAGGACACTTGCTTGTGTTCTGTACTAAAATTCAAGGCATGTTTTCAACCATATATAAAAACACCCCAGGATTAATAAGAAAAAAGAAAAACCAGTAGAAAATGGGCAGTAAGACCTGACCAGTCACCCTTCTGGGGGAGGGGATGCCGATGGAGAGGGTCACTGGTGACAAGAGAAACGCAGGATGGCCACAGTGCACATGTGGACACCATCCAAGCGGAAGGTCAGGGCGCACGCATGTTGCTCGGTACCTGACACCAGGTAGCAGGACCTGGGGGCCGCTACTATGGCTGCTGGTGGGGACAAAGCATCCAGCCCAGGGGAAACACTCATGGGCACCAGCCTATAAAGCTGGACCTCCCACCTCCAGCTCCCAGCAATTCTGCTCAGGCCCGTACCCAGGAGAAAACCTGCCTGTGTTCCGGACATGACCAGAGGTTCTGGAGGGTCAGCTCTAATGGCAGGTGGAGACCTCCAAATACTCGCTGATAGGACCAGTGGGTTTCAGGATCCCTTCAGTCCCTGAAAAAGGCCTGGGGAGAGCTTTGTGGGGTTAGCTTTGTCTTTGCCATGTTAGACTTTAAACTGAGAACGAGAGTAACTGACGAGAAATAGGTCATGTGGCCAATGATTCAGGAACATGACAGGGCCCGTGTCCCCGAGAGCCAGGGAAAGTCCAGGCTCAGGACACAATTCCAGTGGGAAACACGTTTTCATGTTTCTGAAATCGATTTATGGGAGAAACCAAATTCTTAGAATCATAGTACTTGGGGTTTCAGGGTCTCCAAGAGGCTGTGTTTTATCGCCATGACCAGTTCAGAGCTCCTTGGAGGGTCTGTGGCACTGTGGTCGGTGCTTGGAGGCCCCGGGTTGGCTCGGCGCCCGTCCCTTCCAGATCTGCTCCCACCCGTGATGCCCGAAGCTTGTGCACAGCTCTGGATAAAGCTCTGGGGTAAACTCCTGGGTTTACTTTCATATTCACATGGCAGGACATACTGACAGGAGAGAGGCTTTCCTACAGGAGGATGGGACGTGGCAGTCGGAGCTCTGCCACGCCGGGGCCACGGCAAAGGACTCGAGCAGAGTCTGTGAGCAACTGCCTGACTGGGACCGATGGGTAGGGGTGGGTGATGGCAGGAGGCATGCTAAGGGTGCCCTGCGGGGGGTAGGCCTGGCCCTGCGGCCACCTCGAGGGTCAGCCTTGCCCCTCACCTTGCAGAGGCACCACGCAAAGGCTCCAGGCCCGAGCGCTCCTGAGAACTGGATGGGACCGAATCCAGCAGGATTCCAACGGGAAGTGGGGGCAGGCCCACCTGGGCTGCTTGATTTGTCCTGAAGGGATGCAGACGTGGGAGATGCCTCTTTGTCAAAGGCGGAGCCCCAGGGAGGAGGCGGCCGACACTTCCCACCTCTGCATCCTGAGCACTTGGAACTATTTTATTCACAACACTGAAAATAACACACCTACTGTGTCCTGAACAAAGAAATGAGTGGAAATTTCTCTCGTGTTTTTTTTTTTGTTCCTTGTTTTTTTTTTGCGGTACGCGGGCCTCTCACTATTGTGGCCTCTCCCGTTGCGGAGCACAGGCTCCGGACACGCATGCTCAGCGGCCATGGCTCACGGGCCCAGCCGCTCCACGGCATGTGGGATCCTCCTGGACCGGAGCACGAACCCACATCCCCTGCATCGGCAGGCAGACTCTCAACCACTGCGCCACCAGGGAAGCCCTTCTCTCGTGTTTTAAGAGGCAAGTTCCACTTGTGGAATTCAGCGCCTGCTAGGGCTGGCACTTGTGCAGCCCCACAGGACAGCAGTGGCCAGCAGGGACCTCCGCACGGGGAGCCCTGATCCCTGGGGCCCGGTGGGGTATCCACTTTCCCTCCACACGGTGGCACTTCGGTCAGAAGAGGTCCCTGATCAGGGGCTGAAGCCTGGTCCCTGTGTGCCTGCTCAGCTCCTCGAGAACCTGCTTCTCCTTCTGGTACATCTGAAAGAAAGGGGTGGAAACAGCTCCAGATTGGCCCAGAGGCCTGGCCTCCTTGGGCCCTGGGCTTCCCTCCCCGAGGCCCGGGGCCTCCCACACAGCCCAGGGCAGGCTGTGTCCCAGTGCACAGGGAGCACCGACGTGCTGCCCGGTGGCGTGTGAACCCTGCAGCCAGCAGGGGGCTGGGAACAGGTGCTGGGCCGGTGGTCTGTGCATGGAGAGGAGCGCCTGCCTGGGTTGCAGGAGAAGGGGCCGGACTGCGTGGCCCGGCCCTGAAAGCACCGGAGCGGGTGTGAGGACGGCCCCCCGGGGAAAGGGCAGGCTGGTGGGAAGCGCGCTGGAGGCTTTCCTGAGATGCTGCGGGCATGTGGAAATCAGTGGGGCTGAGCAGGGGAGCCAGGTGGCCATAGCAGAGCTGGGCGGGGCGGGCGGGGGGGTCGGGGGGAGCCAGGGTGTGGCCCGTGTGGACCCAGCAGCCTAGGAAGGCTGGGGAGAGGCCCATTGCCCGGAGACTACCTCCGTTAAGGAAAAACTGCTTTTCTTCTATGCTGTTCAGGGAACCCGTCTGATTACGAATGTAATTCGAGTTAATAAAACACAATACGGTGCATCTACCAACACAGACCTTCACAGACAGAGTAAACACTGGCAGCCTTCCAGGAAACAAACTGCCACAGAACTTTACCTAACAGGTCTGGTGATCAGACACCTGCACGCTCTAAATCCTCTTTCCATTGACAAATACCATCACAATGTCTCTTGTAAAGGTTTTTTAACTTTAAGCCATTTGAATTTTATAGAATTTATGGAATGTAGTGTCTCTCCTCAGACCCTTCTTTCAACAGTGAATAAACAATGCAGTTAACAGCATTTAGAGAGTCCAATATTTCAGACAAACACTGTCTTTTTTATAAGCAAGCATTATAATTTCCTTATTTCACTGCGCTTCTCCATTTGGTTTTCATACTTGACTGCAAGGGGCAGGTGGTGCAGCCCTGGCTCCTGGGGCCTCGGGCTGCAATGCCCCCCATGTGTGTGCTGGGGACAGGGGATGGCTCCTACCTTCCGCCACTCGGCCTCCGTGCTGTGTGTGAAGCCCAGCAGGTGACAGAGCCCGTGGGTGGCAGTCACCTGTCAGAACAATTCAGAAGCTGCCTCAGGGGGCGGTCAGGACCAAGCCATGAGCCAGGGAGGAGGGGCAGGAAGTCAGGGAGAGCTCAGTGGATGTCTGGTGGGAGGTTAGGAAGCTTCCTCCGGGCCCAGGCAGGGCTGTGGGCAGGTGGTGAGGTCACAGGGGTGGGGTCTGGGGAGCAGCAGTAGGCCCGGCCCATGGCAGGATGTGAAGATCAGTCTCTCCTCTGGGATGGGGTGGGGAAGGGGCAGATGGGTGGGTAGCTGTGGAGACATGGAGGACCAGGGCAGGGGAAGGGGGAAGGTACCCCGGGCTGTTAGAAGGTGCCAACGTGCAGCTGGGCACCAGCTGGGAGGACAGTGGCTTGGCCTGGCCCTGCGCCGGGGGATGAGGGCCCTAGGAGTGTGGGCTGGCCCTCCGCTGGGGGTAAGAGAATCCTCAGGAGGTGTGGGGGAATGGAAGAGGTCCACAACTGCCCCCCAGCCCAGAGCCCCCAGGGGTGCACAGCTGCTGGCCACAGAGATCCCAGAGCTGAGACCTGTGCAGACTAGTCCTGTCTATGCTGCAGTTGCCCCAACTCCCTGGGAGAAAGCACACCCTCCTTCTGGCAGCACCCTGACGCTTGAGCACAGGGCGTCTTGCTGGGAAGCTCTAAGCTCTGCTTCAAGCCTCGGAAGCACTAGGCTCCCCAAAGATGATAATTCAGGGTGTGGCTGTTCGGTCAAAGGAAAACACCTCAATTGAATCCACAGGAACGTTAAAACATGACTCAATCACACACAACTTGCCAGAACACTCCCACCACCCTTCATGGCATCAAGCTGAGGAGACAGATCTGAAGGTCCTGGAGGCCAGAATCCTGCCTGCTTTGGGCAGTTCGGTAAGAAGCTCACACAGCAGGTCTGAGCTGGCTCAGCACAGCCTGCTGATCTCCAGAGGTGAAGCTAAGAACAAGGCTGCTTTTGGGGCTCCCTCTGCACAGCCTGCTGATCTCCAGAGGTGAAGCTAAGAACAAGGCTGCTTTTGGGGCTCCCTCTGCACAGCCTGCTGATCTCCAGAGGTGAAGCTAAGAACAAGGCTGCTTTTGGGGCTCCCTCTGCACAGCCTGCTGATCTCCAGAGGTGAAGCTAAGAACAAGGCCGCTTTTGGGGCTCCCTCTGCACAGCCTGCTGATCTCCAGAGGTGAAGCTAAGAACAAGGCCGCTTTGGGGCTCCCCCTTCAGTTATCCACGTAGATGCCCCCGTCCTCTCCCCTCACCCAGCGGTGCCATGGGGCATGCAGACCCCACGGCCCAGGCTCTCCTCTCTGAGGGATGGTGAGAGGGCGCTGCCCCTGCCTGTGGGTCTCCCTCAGTAAGCTCTGTCCTGCATGAGGACGATGGTGTGTATGCCCGTGTCGCCTCCACCTCTTCTCACCGCCTGGATGGAGGACATCAGCCTTTGCTTTGCCAAGCAGGGTCTGTCATTTCAGCACTTACAGTCAGGATGTCATAGTAATCTTCATTTTCTTTGCAGTGCTGGAAGATATACTCCACTCCCAGGAAGATGTCTCCTAAATTATAGTCATCTGGAAAATCAGGCTGGGGAATTTCGCCTGCTTTCAGATTCTGAAAATGAGGAAACATACATTTGGAGAACTCGACCTCAGAACACTAATCGACCACAGGCCTACAGATTTCACCCCGAAAGACCCTGTGCCACTAGTCCCAAGGCAGACAAGTTGGGAACTGTGGTAGAGACACTACACACGACTGACTGAAGATGTTCCCACCCTGTGAAATGAACCTTCCATTTCTTTCATCCTTCCTAAGGCCCAACCACCCAGCTCCCTAACTTCTACGGAGCTAAATCACCACATCGATACAAGCTTACATTTCTGTTTTTTCCAGTTGTTGTTTTGTCCTAAACAAATAATCTTTCTCATTTTCCCACATAAAGACCAGTCTATTCAGTTGAGGCCAGTCACCTATGGCTTGATATTTAGGGTGTTAATATTTTTACTTCCTATCAGGGAAGAGGATAAGTGGATACTTTAATACATTTTTATGTTACACATTGAACATTTTATTTTCTTTCCATTTACTTCCTTAGGTATGACACTAGTGGATTAAACAGTAATCAAGATTTACTTCAAGTAAACTGCCAGATTGCCTTCCGAAAGGGCTGCCTCAATCTATGCTGTACGAACAGTGTGGGGAGCCTCGGATCGATCATTCACATAACATAGGTAGTGACCTGACAGATATCACGTATTTGTTTAAAATAGTCACCCAGTTCTGTCCTTTTATTCTCAGAGTTATTTAAAAGTTTTCAATCTATACATATGTATTATTTAGTCACACTTAAAACTGCAGAAGCACTTTCTCTTTAATTCACTGATACAGAACGTGGGGTCGGGGGGCAATCATCTCCCCTCCTCCAGCGATAGGATCTGGTCAATAGGGGATGGTCACACGGTACTCTCTCCTTCTGTGTGTATTTGAGTTTTCAAAGTCAAACTTAAAATCGTGTCTGTGGTATAATTAACAGGGATTTCCAGAGGAAGGTAGGCCAGACAGGAAGAGGAAAACAGCTTTTACCTCGTGAAACGCAAAGGAAAGCACATCTGTTGGGGTGTTTTTGTCTCTGTAGATTCTATTAATCTGCTGAATCTTTCTGTTGTCGACACAGATGACCCCCAGGTCGAACCTCTGCACCCCCAGTGCTCTCCGCACCGCCTGCACATTCTCGCGGAGCCGCGCCCGCCTCAGGGGCACCGCCCGCTGCAGGTTCCTCACAACCAAGCTCATCGCGGCCGGAGCCACTGCGCCCTATAAAAGGCAGACGAATCAGAAAGCCATCCTAAATTCTGTAGAAACACCCGCGCGCACACACTCAATTCATCTTGTTTGGCGGAATTCGTTGAAAAACGTCATGGAATGCGCCTTTCACCATACGGAAGCCATAACACGGAAGGACGTGAACACGCCGTGAAGTCAGGCGCGCCAGACAGACGTCAACAGCCACTAGGAAAGCGGGGCGGCGGGGAGGAAGGGCCTAACGGTGAAGGGGTGCGCAGTGGGGGCGGGGCGGGGCGGAGGGCGCCCCGTCGTCTCCGGGCCGCCCGCGGGGAACGCCCGCCGCCCCTCTTTGGGGAGGGGGAACTTACCGGGCGGAAGCTGGCGGGCTCGGAGCTGGACGCCGCGTACCGGAAGCTCCGCCGCCGCCGCCCGGCCAGAAAGCGGAACCCGAGCGCGTCTCGGCCTAGGCGCGGGACAGACCGGAAGTGGGTAGCCGCGTAGCTTTCTGCTCGCTGCGCGCAGTGAAACGGTGAGTCTCTGGCTGTCGCGGTCCTTGCGTGCGGCTCCAGCCCGGCGCCAAGGGGCCGTGGGACGGCGGGCGGTGGCGTCCCTGAGCCGGACGTTGAGCGCGGCGCGGGGCCTGGGCGGGCGGAGGTCTCCCCCTTTCCCGCCGCCGCTCCCGTGTCGCTAACGGAGGCGGGGGGCAGGGGCGCGGGGCCAGGGGCGCCGGGAGGACACTGGGGGCAACACAGCGGGTGCGGGGCCACCCACCGCGCCGCCCGAGGCTTGGCTTGCGCTGCACAGGTGCCCCTGTCCCTCGGCGGTCTGGGGTGGGGCAGCCTCTGCGTGAGCGCTCTTGTTCTTCAAGCCAGCTCCTGGGGGTAATCGCCCGCGTGTAAAATCGCAAAATATTTCTTTGTCTGGAAAGAGTATTTGGTGCCCTGGTTACTGGGAGAAAAATTAGACGGGAGGAAACACGGAAACACTAATGTTTTAACAGTCTTGCATTCTAATTCTCTGGCTGTCGAGATTGAAAGACGTCAGAAACCTCCTGTCTTTAAGTTGAAAAGAGTAACGGCATGTATTTTCATATTGTTATTTGAGGTTTTACCGTGAATTTACCGATTCAGTAAAATGTTTTGAATTTTTGTTTTTAGTTTTAGACGATCATGCTTTAAAGCTCCGTAACAAAGTAATTTATTTGTACCAACTTCTATCCCGCACTCAAAACCAAACCAAACCAAACCAAAACAGCCCCACCAGTTGCCTCTCAGAAAGTAAGAATACTTAGCTCTTTGCTTTACCTGACATGTGATTAAAAATTCTTTTCTTAGTCTTACAGCACTACATAGCTGTGATGGTCTGAATTTTTGTCTTTCAGCTTATCGTGAAGATGAGGGGGGGGCTCCCTAGCTGAACAGATCGTTTGAGGAAGGGGATTACTTTTCTGCGCGTATTTATTACCTTCCAGTAATTGGATCAGAAGATGAATCCAGCTAATCCTTTCAGTGGGCAGCAGCCTAGTGCTTTTCCACCATCTTCCAGTGGTTCCATAGGGACGTTTCAAGCTAAGCCACCATTTCGGTTTGGTCAGCCCTCTCTTTTCGGACAAAACAATACATTATCCGGGAAGAGCTCTGGATTTTCACAGGTGTCCAGCTTTCCAGCATCTTCTGGACAAGGGCCTTCTTCTTCAGTGCAAACATTAGGATTCTCCCAAACCTCAAATGTTGGCCTCTTTTCTGGACTTGAACACATTCCGGCCTTTGTAGCTACCTCTGGGTCTTCAAGTTCATCTGTGCCTGGAAACCCAGGATTTAGTTTTAAGTCACCCAACCTTGGAGCATTCCCAAGTACTTCTACTTTTGGACCAGAGACTGGAGAAATAGCAAGCTCTGGTTTTGGGAAAACAGAATTTAGCTTTAAACCTCTGGAGAACTCAGTGTTCAGGCCAATATTGGGGGCTGAATCCGAGCCAGCGAAAACTCAGAACCAAATTACTTCCGGATTTTTTACATTTTCCCACCCGGTCAGTAGTGGACATGGGGGACTGGCCCCGTTTTGTTTTTCTCAGGTGACAAGTGGTTCAGCCACCAATTCAAATTTTACCTTTTCAAAACCAGGTAATAATAATTCATCATCATCTGCCTTTACTTCTGCCTTGTCAAGTCAAAATGTGGAGGAAGAGAAGAGAGGCCCCAAATCCCTCTTTGGAAGTTCTAATAGTGGCTTTACTAGCTTCCCCATATCTCCTTCAGGGTCCTTGGGTGAACCCTTCCCAGTTCGCAAAGCAGGTGTCAGACAAGGATGCGAAGAAGCTGGTTCCCAAATGGAGCCACTTCCCAGCCTCATGAAAGGACTGAAAAGGAAGGAGGACCAGGACCGGTCCCCAAGGAGGCACGGTCACGATGCAGCAGAAGATGCGGACCCTCTGTTGAGGGGCGACCATCCTCCAGATAAGCGACCCGTCCGCTTGAATCGACCCCGGGGAGGCACTTTGTTCGGTCGGACAATACAGGATGTCTTCAAAAGCAATAAAGAAGTAGGCCGTCTGGGCAACAAGGAATCTAAAAAGGAAACTGGCTGTGCCGAGTCTGGGGAAAGTGACCACTTGGCCGTCCCAGGAGGCAGTCAGTCTGTCCTGGCACCTTCCTGGCTTCCAGGTGTGAATAAAGAGGAAGAAGCTGAAAGTAGAGATAAAAAAGAAGGTGCGCTCTAAAAATGTACAAAGTACAGTAAATTCTGCTGGCAAGTTCTTGGTAAATTTCCCTGGGTGTTAGTTTGAATTTCGTAGTAAACCCCCTGTAAACATTAGGGATCCTAACATACCATAGGATCTCAGAGCAGGTCTTACATCCATGAAAATTTCCTTTGCTCTTACCTGGTTGATGCCTCCTATTGTTTGAAAACATTGCATCTGATACATTTCTGTGCCCGTTCTCTGATCCCCTAGATTCTCTAAGAGGAACTCCTGGCCGTCAGAGTAAAAGAAGTGAGAGCACAGACAGTCTTGGGGGCTTGTCTCCTGCTGA